GTTGATGGTGGTAGCGCCTCTGGGATAAACTATTTAAGAAGGGAAAAAGTTACTGCACAACTGTAGCCGGAGAGAGGAGTAAGAATATGTGAGAGGAACAACCCTGCAGACACCAAGGTCAGTGAAGAAGGAGGGGGAGGAGGTGCTCCAGGCACCAGAGCAGAGATTCCCCTGCAGCCCCTGGTGAAGGTCATGGTAAGGCAGGCTGTCCCCCTGCAGCCCATGGAGGTTCATGGTGGAGCAGATATCCACCTGCAGCCTGTGGAGGGCCCTACATCGGAGCAGGTGGATGCCTGAAGGAGGCTGTGACCCTGTGGGAAGCCCACGCTGGAGTAGGCTCCTGGCAGGACCTGTGGACCCATGGAGAGAGGAGCCCGCACTGGAGCAGGTTTGCTGGCAGGACTTCTGACCCCGCAGGGGACCCACGCTGGAGCAGTCTGTTCCTCAAGGACTGCACCCCATGGAAAGGTCCCACACTGGAGCAGTTTGTGAAGAACTGCAGTCTGTGGAAGGGACTCACAATGGAGAAGTTTGTGGAGGACTGTCTCCCGTGGGAGGGACCCCACACTGGAGCAGGGGAAGAGTGTGAAGAGTCCTCCCCTGAGGAGGAAGGAGCGGCAGAGACAGCATGTGATGAACTGACCGCAACCCTCGTTCCCCGTCCCCCTGCACTGCAGCAGGGGGGAGGAGGTAGAGAAATCGGGAGTAAAGTTAAGCCCAGGAAGAAGGGAGGGGTGGGAGGAAGGTGTTTTAAGATTTAGTTTTTATTTTCTCATTACCCTATTCTGATTTGATTGGTAATAAATTAAACTAATTTCCCCAAGTTGAGTCTGTTTTGCCCATGACAGTAATTGGTGAGTGATCTCTCCCTGCCCTTATCTCGACCCACGAGCCTTTTGTTATATTTCCTCTCCCCTGTCCAGCTGAGGAGGGGAGTGATACAGCAGCTTTGGTGGGCACCAGGCATCCAGCCATGGTCAACCCACCGCAGATCCCAAGTGTTAACGTCTGGGAATAACAGGTAGTAACACAGATCATATCTTTGTCCCAACATCCCTGTCCTCACCTCAGCCTTAAGAGTCTAGATGCCTCAGAACTGTTTGGACATGTTTCCATGATACAGGGAAGGACTAAGTACACAACAATGGCCTTACTTCTCTTTCTTTGTTCCTTAAAGGAATCAAACACTAGACAAATTTAGAACATTTTTTTTGTTGTTTAAAAAAGAAAAAAAAAAACAAAACAAGAAAAAAAACAGAAGGAAAAAAGGGAGAGGCAGTTCTGCTTTTAGAAAAAGAAGTCATCTAATTTCATAGTATATCAACCATTGCTTTTCAATCTGAAGTTAAAATATATCATGAAAGAAGCAAGACGAAAATTATATTGTTAATAACACTATTTAATACAAAGCATCAAAGACAATTTAGCCAGAGAAAGAGTCTGATCTCTCCACCATCTCTCTTGTGATGTGGTACTTCTTAAAGGATACATCCAGGACTAGGTTCCTTGTACAAGACATTACAAATACCTTGCAAGTATTTGCGATGAAATTCAGACTTTATTAAAACCAGCACAAATATAAACAAATCAATCCTGCTCATTTCAACGGGACCATGATTCTCCTACTGGCTGCTAGGCACAGGAGACTGCAGCCTGTTCGAAGCTCACATACTCCAACTGCAGGAAATGTGGGATGGAAATGGACAGGACTTGAGGAGGCAAACCATGAGCAGTGCGTATGCTTTGGTATATGAGTATTGTGTAACATAATAGATTAATTTCTTTAGACCACTGTGGGAAATTTTTCTATGGTCTGGAATAACTATACTAAGCCAAGCCAGAAAAAAATTCCTAGAAAATAGTTACAGCTACAGCAACATTTGACCTTGAAGCAGGTGAAAGGTTGCAGATAGGCTGATTAAGGAAGAAGGCGTCAGGAAAGTGCTGCTCTGCACTGATACTTTCAGGGGTCTGCAAAACAGCTGATCTGCAAGCATGCAAACCAAACAACATATGAAGCACCAAGTTTAAAAAAAAAAATTACACCAACTCGAAAATTTTTCTGAATTGTATCTGCATCTAATTGAAAAATGATATACAAAACAAGACTAGTCTCTGATATTCTTCAGAGTGAGTTCTGAAAATGACCTCAGCCTGCCAAGGCCAAACTCAGGGGACCTGACAGACAGGCAAATGGCTGCAGCCACCACAGCCACCCTCTGGTAGGGCACAGTGCTTTACGCAGCCACTCCCACGTCAATGTAATTGATCTAGAGCTGAGACACTTTCAGAGAGAGAAGGTGGATTTGAGTGAACACTTCAACTCTACTTACAACCAAGCAATGCTGTGAGAAGTAGAATAAAACATTTCTAAATTTTGCCTGTTGTGTGTGTTACTCACCACTTGCTCTTTCCAGAGTGGCTTCTGCTCACTTTCCATAGTCCCGAAAGATGCCTGGGGCATAGGCTAAAAATTAAGCTGATCCTGAAAATAGAGCTGCTCCTTTCAGTAAAGAGATATGTGGAACCTCAGTAACCAAACATACCCAAGGTCAAATTCATCCCTGGCTTCCATCTTTGGCCTCCCTGTGTGTATATCTGTATACATCATGAAAACTATTTAATGCATCCGAACTAAAAGAAAACAGTTCCTGGTCCCCCCCAAGACTTTTGTCATGCTAATGTGGCCTATACATAACCTACATACTTCCCAGCAGCCTGGGAGGGACCTGATGTTAACAAACAATAAAGCAGTAGCTCCTATTTCGGTCCTCTGGCCATACAAAGGTGCGGTGTAAAGCAGATGTCTTGGTAGTGGTGTGCACATTTTAACAGTCTGGAAATGCCGTTGCGGGGAGTTTCTTCTTGGTCGTATGGCCTTGCTCCTATTGTTGTGCATTCGTTAACTATGAAGGAGCTGTAAGGGGAAGCAGCTTTGGTGTTCTGCCAACCTGCCAACTGCATGCAATATTTCGTGACAGAAATACAAGTGTGACACAGAAAAACGTAAATATTATCTCTAAGGATGTGGAAACCGTATTTTACATTACTCGTGTGCCCTTTCGTTGGTTCACAGTGCTATTTAAAGATCACATAAAATGATGGAAATTATTCTGGAGTGGGGTGTGGATTATGTTTTGGGTTTCTTTTTAATAGGACATGGAAATATCGGAAGTGTCAACCTTGCTATTTCCTAGTTTTGCTAGAGAATCTGGAGTATACCCCGATAGAGCTATGCTGATAGATCTTAATTTATAATTGGAAAGGTAGAATGGCTGATTTTTTTTTTTTGACTGACAAAGCATTTCTCTAAAATGCTACTTCATAGATGACTTCAAACAGAAAATAAAAAACTTTAATCTTTTCAGTAACACTCTATCACTCTGGCCATAGATTCCTTATTTGTAATGCAAAAGCAGAAACAAACTCTTTAATTAAAAAATACAACCACATTTCAGCCTTTTTCCCTGTTAAGAAGCAAACATTACAGCTCTTTTCCCTCATGTTACACATAGTACATGCAATTCTTTCATCCATTTGCCAGATCATTATGCTTTGAGGTTGCCCTTACACAGAGGTTTTATCTAACATTCTTCCCTGTGTGTTGAGACAGACAACTGCAGTCCCACAGTAAGCTGACTGTTGCTGCTCCCCTATTTAAGCTAACGAGTATTTAGTTTTTCATCTGCTTTATTCTTTCCTGTTTATTTCTTGAGATGTCTCAGCCAACACGGTTATTTACTGCTTTTCACAGGTGTCCAAAGAGAATTACTTTTTTTCTTTCATAGCTGTTGAACATATTGCTAGCTTTGCAGGTCTTTAGTGAGTGTTATGGATTGTTAATATGATAATGTCTTTTGACAGCTTAATAAATGATTCTGAATTTTCCTTTTGTTTCCTGTAGATACATTCTGTATCTACATGAAACAAAGAGGCACTTACAGCCAGTAAGTGAGGGTCCTTCCAAAAAACCTCAAATATGCACCTACCAACAAAAAAATCTTAGGAACTCATTAAACTGTTCTGTTTGAGCAGGATCAGGCAGAAAAGAATAAAAACATAATGGTTTTGTAGTATTCCCCGAATTTGCTTACATTGTTTAGGCAAGAAACAAGGTGTGTCGGACTGGCAAGAAAGGAGTGAGCACAGGTTCACACAACCCACGTATGCTCTAAGAGCAAACTATTATCATCTTCAGTCTGGCAGAAGCACTTCGGAATGTAGCATTCAAATACAAAGATAGGAACAGAGTCATCACCTTTGGAGAAGGGCCAAACAGAGTCATTGACTAACAGTTAAGACATCTCAGTTTAAACTTTGGATTTTTTTTTATAATGTGTGAGATTGTATTCATATTTTTCAGGTAAAACTGGTACTACTTCTCTATCAAAGGGGCTTTCCATTTTAAAATAATGTCTTTGGATTTTGATTTAATAAATATTTAGTATCTCTGACATATCAGGCATTGTTTACTTTTTGCCTTAAATTCATTCATTGTTTGTATAACACTAATTTGCTCATCATTCTGGAGGAAAGATCACAGCACAGCACTGAAACAGGTGCGGTGCTTTTAACACCACCGAACTTGCATGGTTTGACTGCAAATTGAACTGATTTTTTTCTTCCTGCTCCAATCTTGGGAGCAGAGCCCACTTTAGCATGTTGACAAGAGCAGAAGTGTATCAGGATATAAGCAGGCTGCATTTGCCATCCACATTGCAATCTGTGCTGAGGAGAGCTAGCATATGGGATTTGCCTTTCAGAACTTCCCATTTCTGAAGGGTTCATCAGGGCCACTGGAAAAAAAGAACCAGATGTGATAAAAACTCTGTAATAATTGCTTGGTAATTTTCCAGCTCTGACTCCTACAGTGCAGTTTATTGACACAAGCACCAAGCATCTCTTCCTTCCCTTGTGCTGAACCAGCAGTCTGGCAATCCTCCCAATTTTTTACTGTTCTTACTGGAGTGAGGTTTGCTGAGAGTGAGGGAGGGAAGGATTAACAGCATTTCTGGAAACGCACAGATTTGGTGATATTCAGGGCTGGTTTGTATTCATCTCTTCCACTTCAACTTCAATGCACATCCTGTATTGTTTGTTGCTGTTTTCTGAGCCTAATTACAGATAAAGTAACTTGCAGAACCTGACCTGCCTGCCTGCCTATTTAAGTGGCTATCGGGTACAGTGTAACAACTATTGCTATCCAGACCCCCAGAAGAAGAGAGAAAACCCCAACATACAAACAGTGCAGAATAGCAATGCAGTATCTTAAAGCTTAAACGGCTGCCAATTACTATGCTGATCTCTACAGTGATGGGTATGGTGGTGTAACAGACATGGTACAACCCCTACTTTGAAGAAACCTAAGATGACAGCGGGCAGCCACCCTTTTATTATTGGACCTGAAGAACTGCAGAAAGCTTTGTCAAAGTCTTTCATCAAAATTCATACCCTCAAACCAGAAACTATGGAATCAGCTAAGGACTTCTATGATGCTCTGTCCTGCCTGGCAGTGAGAGGGATGGGTCTTCCATGAGTACTGCACCCATCTTGTGTAATCACGTGCTGCTCAACATAACCCAGTCCTACACACACAGAATGCTATTTCCTTTCCATTTTCTTAAAAAGGTAAACAACTTTTTTCTTCCATCCCTGTTTTTTCCTTCATTTTAAGCTGCAGATACACAGCCAGTTCTCACTTTTTTTGGATGTTTATAGTCCATTTGTTTTTGTTCTCTTGTATGCACTGATGAGCTTATGTATAGTGCTTCATTTCCTGTACTGTACAGCAGAGATAAACCAGAAGGGATAAATTAAGGATCAGGAAAGACCTAAGCATAAGCTATGAGAGGAGACTTCTCCCAGATGACTCGATTAGATGATGATCACTGGTGACAAACAAGGTCTCCCAGAGGGCTCAAAGGACACTATCTATAGCCACACTTAAAAATTTTACACCACAACAACGCAGGACAGAACAGGTTTCTCATAAGAATTTCATTTTCTTTTGCTGAAAAGTTACTTGAAATACGGACCGATGTAGTAGCTTGTGTAGCTGAAAGCCTACAAACCAAAAGAAAAAAAAAAAAAAAGTTGTTTGGCATTACCTTTTGTTCCATCTTGTGTTTCATTTTTGTTTTCACTTGTTCTCACAGTTGAGGGTTCACTCCCATCACAGACCTAAGAAAGGAACAATAAATATGCATGCCTATTAAAACCAAACGCATGGTTGTAGAAACTCCTTTGACTCTGTGCAGGATTAGAACACATACTCCTGCAATTCAGGGGTATGCAGAAGCACTCCTGTGTGGTTCAGTAGAAAACCCTTTGCCAAAGTCTAAGGGGATCTGAAATCTAGGTAATTAATAAAGAAGTAATTAAGTCCATTCCCCCTCTTCCTAAAAGGCTAAGTGGGTATAAGACTTAATTTTCCAGAGTTGCAAAGAATAAGAAAATGTAGTCTTTGACCTGAAGCCATAGTTTGCACTGGAAAGGATATGGAAAGGGAATCTGGAGGAGACATCTTGACTGACAGTCCAAATTCCTTCCTCTTGCATAATCTTACATGGTTGCTTCCCCTACAGAACAATCCCATCCCTTTTGCAGGGCAGCCTGACATTAATACCTGTGCTTAACAGCTTAGATTCCCAACAGCAAAAGTAGGACACTTCAAAGAGACAACAAAACAGGAAAGGATTTGAACCATCTTCTCTGTTCTACAATGCTGCACTACCCAGTCTCAAGATTTATCACACTCCATGAACTGGATGACACCTGCTATAGAAAAAAATATTTCAGCACATGCAGAAAATCTGCATATGCGTACATATATATATGGGCATATATATATATATGGGTGTGTATATATATATATGGGTATACATATACCCGTATATGCTTTTACCCACATATTTTTATGATCTTTTTGGCAACTCAAATCAACAATGAATGTTTAGCGCTCTGGATTTTTAATCGTATTTTACTCAAGCACTGTACAACTCCACACTTACTGAGAAAAAAAAATTCAAGTTTTAAAGATTTCTCCTACAAACACAAATCTCTATATTTATTTTTTTTTTTTAAATCAGGGATCTTGAGAGGTGGAAGAATATAGCATGACTGCCCAGAAAATTATTACTGTTTCACAGAGCAGTAGAAGCAGACTGGGAAGTTGTCAGGGTACCAAAAGTCTAGCTTCTCCTTGGGAACATGGCAGGAAATTTAGTAGAAGCATCAACACAATTGTTGTGTTGATGTGAAACATCAACACTATTGTTTTACCTTTCCTCCTGCTTTCCTCCAGGTGAAGGGAGGTTACAGGATTTTCTGAGGCTATTATTAAACTGGAATGACTTGACACAGCTGCAGATGGCTTCAGTCCTCTTTTGTTACATAAAAAGCTTTCTAATGATGGGAGAGTAACAAATCACTGAGACAAGGTACCTAGGGAGGTTGTAGAAGCTACTTCACTACAGGCTTTCTGTGACAGATTGGATGAGTAACTACAAGCAATGATTTCTGCATAATTATCCTGCTTTGGAGAAAGGAATGCAGTACAGGTTTGAGGGCCTACACTTGTATTATTTTATTTCAATCAAGGAGACAGGTTTAGAAAGATTCTTTTTTCTTTCAGTTATTTCTGTATTTAATAAATATTCTAACCTGTGTTATACATCTTAAATGGCTACAATCATTTGTCTGCTTGCATTACTTCTCACTGATGTCATCAATATCAAAACATGAGTTTGAGAGACACAGAAGTCTACTGAACACCGTGACATATGATTTTCAAACATTACAAAGTGTAGTTTAAATACAGGAACATGAGTATTTCTCGTGCTTTACTGAAATAACATACTTGAAAGGGAAATTATACTGCTTTAAGCTATAGCATATTTTACCTAAATTGCTCTGCTACTAGATCCTGTAATTTTTAGGTGTAGCCAATTCCAAATCAGATCCCAGAAAGCTTTTATGGAGTTAATATCCCTTCTGCAACCACATGCAAAGCAAAACAATGAAAGGGAAGTTGTGCCTCCAAAACGTATGTTGGAGATTACAAACTCCCCCCACTACATTTCACCTTTACTGAATTTGAAAGGAGTTGCCAAAGGAGAGGAAGCTATTGGGGGGAAAAAGGAAGTTAAATCCCCTCAAAATTCGCAATGCTTTCCACCACTGCTACCATTGCGTTGAACAGCAGCAGCACCAGCAGCGAGAACAAAGGATGGGGCTGAGATCAGGTAAGCTAGCCATGCACTTCCATCAGGTCAGAGTCTTCTTATGGCTGAAGATCTCATTGCTTTTGGGGGAGCAGACAGGACACATACGCTCCTCCACAGAAGAGGAATTCTAATCATGATCTCCATTTCCCTCCTTCCCCTTTCCTGTGTGTGGGAAAGGAACTCTCCTGTTCAATACTCCATGAGAGGAGACAGGGACCCATCAGGACCTGTCAGAGCAACTTCTCACACACAGTTTAATGACACGCACAGGCCCTGGGAGTTAGTATGGGGCATAAGCCCTCAGCTGACAGGCACAAAGACCTAGCCAAAATAAAGGAGGTTAGGTTGATGTCCCTTTTTTTCCTCCTTTTTTTTTAAAAAAAAAAAGAAACAAGAGCACCAGTAAGTAAGAGGTACTGCCTCCTATCTGGCAGACTCCTCAGGATGGCTGCAGGGCACTACCACCCAAAGATAAAATGGGCTTTTGGTAGCTCATTGGGTGATTGTTGTCATGAGTTTTGCATCTGCGTTAAAATTAATTCAGATTATTTCTTGACCATGGAGTGGTTGTTTTATTCATCGCCTTTAAGTAATATGAGGCCAATATACATACTTCCTTCTACATACTAAAATTGCTTAATGCAATGTCAAGTCTAGACCAATGCTATTCCTATAAATTCAGTAAAAAATTGCCTTGGAAATCAGTGAAAAGTTAGACACAAATCTTCTGGAAATATCACTTTTGTGTCTGTGCATCCCTCTCCTCTCCCCCCACCTCTACACGTCCCTCTTCTCTCTGCTGGAATCAAATAAAACAATGGACAGGAACTTACTTTTCCCTTTGAGTCGTTTTGCAGCCTGAAGATATCTCTGACATCAGGAATCTGGTGCTGTTTGTTTCTTTTTCTCATGGTTTGTGTGACAGTCTCTACTCGCTTTTCTACCGCTGCCTTCTGGGTTCGGGTCAGTGTGGACAGAAACACTACGCTTTCCAGGGAGTCGCCAGAGCTCTCGCCAAACAGATTTGACAGACCTGCCTCCTTCAGCCATTCTTCTTCCAGTTCTCCCTCTGAGCAAGGCAAAGAAGAAAAGGCATAAATGTTGGATTTCGAGTACTGATAAGCACACTGGATGTTAATAACATGATCTAGTTAATGCAGTTCGCAAGGAAAGTACTAAGGGGATCTACAATTAAGAACAGTTACTTACACTACCATGACTTGGAAAATCTATTGTTTCTAAAGAGCTTCAAAAGGCTTAACGTATGATATCAAAGCTTTTAAAATAGTTAATCCAACACAGATTGCTACAGGGCAATCTTTGTAATAATCTACAGCACGTCTCTTAAATCATATACCATTTTATAAATGTACCTAGATATAAACGTGTATAGGGAAGCCTGAAAGCGTCTAATCATTGCTGCTTCATGATTTTTAGTTCAATCCTCAATCTTTTTAGCTCCTTTACTGACATAGTTCTGCCCACTTTTCTTGATACATTAATCCTACAGCTCTCCACTAGCTCAATTTAATGAAGGGCAAACCAGGCTACACGAATCACCTTAATGTTATTTTTTTAATCAGTTCTTATGACATAGTCTCCAGCCTGCTGACAGCCCACGAAACAATTGTTGCTTTAGTCTTATGGCTGATAAGGTATCCTTTATTGACAGATCACTGCACATGAAAGAGGAGAAAGCTATTAAATACTGTCACCGATGGCAAAACTTCTGCTTCTGACATCAATACCTCTTTAATGATACTTTCTTTAAAACACCAAATTCTGTCTGTAGCAGCCAAGTTTGTGCTGAATGCCAACAATCCTCTCATAAATAAATCTCCATTTATGAGATATCTAAAAGTTCTTGAAAGCTGGCATGTCGACTTCACTACTGACTGCAGTTTCCCCACAATGCCTACTGCACATCCAAGTGGGCACTTGAATATTAACAGCATTCAGAAAACAGACACAGAATTTTAAGTATGAATTTTGCTATGGCTATGCGGCCAGATCCTGAGCCTCTGAAAAAACTCTCTCAGATTTTGTTATTAGGGCTGGAAAGAAGGGCTACACCCATTCTCCAGAGCAGATGTGAGCAAGGTATATCCCATCTCTCCCCTGCCTTGCCTTTGTATGGCCGCGTCTCAAGCAAGTCCCCAGCCAGGCAGGCCCATCAGCCAGGTGCAATGCCCCACACATTCGGCAATACTCGTACCCAAGCGAGGTGCTACACATTAGGCAAGCTGTGGGGTAGAGCAACGTCTGCTTGAGCTGATCAACATAACTGAGCTGACTCACTTGGGCTTCATGCCAGAGTCAACGGCTCAAGCTGGAGCAGCAACTAGGGGGAAGAAGGCTATATATAAATAAAAAAAGGAAATGGTGGGTTTTGGAGTGCAGAGCCTGAAGGCGTAACAGCATCAGTGAGCTGGGGTAAGAGAAGAGGCTCATGCGCTGCAGAACGATGGGCTCTGCTGCTCTGGAGAAAGCCTCGCCGCTCTGTCAGATGCCCTGCTCCCTTGGCACACAGGCTCGGAGCCTTGCTGCTTTCTCCAGAGGCCATGTTGCTACCCTCTTCAGAGCACTTGTAAATAGCGGTGATGTTTCAAAATGCCTAGGGAGGCAGAAGTGCAAATCCTTTTGAAAGCTAATGGAACACATTCTTCTTACTCATGGAGAGGTCATACCAACATGCAAAGCTCACCATTTTAATTTACTGAGGCTGTGGGCCTCTCGTAAGAATGGGAAAGGGGCAGATACTACACTGTTAAAAAATAAATTGAGAGAAAAGTGGAATTAAGGACATTACTCCTCTTTTGTCTGATAGGACAAGAAAAATAAAGAAATTGCCCAACTTCTTCTAAGATCATGCCCTCAGGAGTGGCCCATAATTGACGCTTCTGAGAAACAAAAATAATACAACTGAATGGTCACAATAGTTACAAGCATAGAAAGTTACTCACTAAACTTAAACCGGTTAATCATTGGCTTGTCTTCTAAAGCGTGACGTTTCTATCCACAATAGCTACAATAACGAACAACATACACAAAGAGTGAAAGGGTAAGTTAGTTTAACAGTAAACTGCAATTAAAGCTTCAATTGTTGTGATTTGCAAGTACAGGCACCTTTCTGATGTTCTGCAAATACAGTTTAAAGGAAAACCAGACTTTTACTTATCTCCGATATAATTCTCTCTCAGGGCGTTGCCTGTTTCTGGTGATATGCATCAGAGGCAACAGAATTTTCAACAGTGGATGTTCAGCAGACTGAGCTCCTTTTTGATTTAAGCGTGTTTGGTGGGTGCCATCTCTTGAAATAAGACTTAAAGAAAAATCCCTAAATCAGCAAACTGATGATCGTTCACAAGAACAGATTTCATTACCATCTGGCTCTTTCACTACAAGTGCTACTTGTTCCACATGATTATTTCCTCTGGTTTCATGGATGTTTTCAAGTTCTTTCCAGTAGTCATCCATAGACAGTTCATCCAAGGAGTCCTGGGATCCTGAGCGGTCAAACGATGCTCCATCGGGGGTCTTCTTGGAATGGTCATGGTTCATTGTATACTGGCCAGACCGACGGCTATAAACAAACCAAAAAGCAATTCTTGGTTAGCGTTTTAAGATACAGGATATATTAATATCTGTGAAGGCACTTAGTGATGAATTGTGTCAAAGTATCAAAGAAAACTACTGTCAACAAGCAAATAAAGATATTAAAAATTACTTTTAATATCTGGAATATATTTTTAATTTAACATTTTTTTTTCCTGCTATACGTATCTCCTAATCTGGAACGGCACAGGAGTCTGTATTAAAGCGGAAATAATGAATCCAAGTTCTAGTAATCCTAGTTACACCAAACCTCTAATTCAACTCACAACAGCCAGTTCCACAAACTTCATAGTACGTATCTTCCTAGCATTACCGTTCATAAAGAATTTTTCAAAAGTGCCTTTCTGCCTGCGTAAATTCTTATAACTTGACAGTACCCCTACTTTTTTCCTTTGCTATTCTGCTTTTATTTTTTATAAATGCCTAGTCTGGTATCTATGACCTTAATTACAGCTGGGAAAGGACAAAATAGAATTACTGAAGTTACAATTTGTGAAGTAAACTGGTGAGTCCAAACATTTAACAAAGGCCGCTATTTGTTTCCATCTTGCTTCCTCTTTGACTGGAAGCGTACCATTTTTATAGTTTGACGTTACTAGTTTTTGGTTCACCCTGCCAAATGTATATTGCTAAGGCTTTCAAAAGGGATCTTTCATCTTAAGTACAGCTGCAACTAGAAAAAAGAAACCAACAAGCTAAAACCTCTAGGTCTCATCTTGATCTCATTAAGTCATTGGCAAAAATTACCACAGACCAAGCAAAGAATTCCTCTTAAAAAGTGCAAAGGTTATAGTGATGTCATTGACGTTACAGGTCATCCTTACAGTCAAAGATACCAAATCAAAGCCACAAACTGATTCAGAGTATCAGAAAGAGCACATGGATTACAGGAATAGCAACCTGATCTAACTTCAGAGTTGGTGCTACTTTTAGTGGGAGGCAGATGGGACGTGGTGATTTCTAGTGGTCCTTTCTAAACTAAGTTACTCTACTATTAGAACAGTATATCAAAATTCTTCCTTGTATTAAAAAATAGTAAGTTTGTAACATTTCAGGAACAACTTCAGATGTTTTTTATGTCTGAATTTGTCTCCATATTCTAAAAAAGGAGGCATGGTTTGGGGTTAAGTAATAAATATCACTTATTCTGAGAGAAAAACATATCAACGATCAAGCATTGTGGATTTATCACAATGCAAATGCAGCAAATTAAGTCCTACCTTCCCATTTGGCTGACTTTGCAAGTTTATCTAGAATTAAACCAAAAGCACCTCCTCGTCCTTACGTTTTATCTTGGGACAACTAACACTTGTTAGCTGCCCCTAAGTAAAAAAGCCATACCTTTCTCTCTGAAGATAAGCCCCTTGTGTGTCCAAGTCACAAATCCTTTCACACCATACGTGCTTGATTCTCTGATAAGAAATACTAACTATATGGACTTTGCCTTTAAAGGTAAAGAGCCTTATGGAAGGACTATGAGTTTCCACCCACTCTGCCTCTCTGCTCCAGGTGCAAGTTAATAAATGACAATGAATTACCAAGCTAATATGCACCCCAACACCATTCCTTAACCTGCCCTTCTTTGAAAGCCCACAAAAAAAATAGATAAAGGAGTATTTAGCTTCTGCATCAATGGCAATAACAATGTCTTGCTAGTAATGCATGTTACCCAATAAATACAATTTCTCCATGTAGCTACCTCGGTTCTTAAACTTCTCCTGACAGGTGTGTCCCGTGCGTGACCTGTGCTACTTGTGAATCCAACACTAATCACTGCAGAAAGATGTTGACAGAGCCTCATCAGAAGCGTCCCCAGCAGCCGACGTAGGTGCCGAGCGTGGCCAAAGCAGGTCAGGCCTCCCAGCCCTTGCCCAGGCTTCCCTCCTCCTGCGGCTGAAGGTGCTCAGAGCAGACTGGGTCCTTCTCCGAAACAGACTCTGTACACTTGAATTGCAGCCTGAGCGAGGTCAGATTTCAGCTTATCGTCCCTCGGTTTAACCCTGCAGAGCTGCTCGGCAGCTCTGCGGTGGCCTTTCACCTTTGGAACAACCTGCTCTTGCTGACCCACCTCAGCTGAAATTTAACCCCCACGGCACACCATGCAAAAGATAAAACCAACAGATTGAATACGTTAAAAGCGTGCACTTCTGGGGGCTCTGGCAGGCTGAGGTGGGATATCCTGCAGCAGGTCACAGCTCTGTGCCATGCTTCCAGGGAAGTGCTCCTCTCGTCCTAAAAAAGCCAGCTCGTTACCTTCCCCAGATTAAGTCCTGTCTCAGAGAAGTCTGTGCCCTGAAATGCACAGCTGATACTCGGCACAGAGCACTCAAGGCCATTTTTAGGGTCCTGTGAGCATTTGCTGCACATTAAAAACACTCCGTAACTCTCAGAGACTGCGCCCTACCCTTCAATCACCGGTCACAGGCCTGCTCCACTTGACCAAACACAAGCTGCTTTTCTTGTAAGGCTCCTCCCGGCCTGACCTTTCCATCTGTCATTAATGAATCAGTACAGCAGTTCCCAACTTTGAGCGGGCAGTAATGCCACTTCTCCTCATGAAAGCCCTCAGAGAAGGACACGAATGACCAGGGGAACCTTCCAAGAAATATTCACACAAAACCCTCACCACTCTGCTGCCAATCTCTCCTTCAAAATCCATGTTGCCTTAGGCCCGTTCACAGCTGGCAGCCCCAGCGCCAGCAGCACTCAGGCTCTTCAGGAGCCGAGGCCACAGGCTGCTGCTGCTCCGCTCACCGATTCCTTGTCTTCCCCCATGAGACTCAATCAACCCCCTCTCCCCAGTTTCTGTTTGGACTGCAAACCCTTTCAAAGCCATCTGTATTTGTCCACATCCACAATTCACATTTCTATGGGCTAGGACAAAGAGAGGCTCAGGCTGGGAGAGAACAACTGCTAAAACTTTAGCTGACAGAGCTGAAAAAAGCTGACATCTTATTTTCACTTCACTTGGTTCAACGTTTTTTGCTTTGCATACCCCACCAGAGAAACACAACGGTGAAGCAGTATTTGGTGCATAACCTGCCCAGCAGTGGCTCCAGGCATCGCCATCTCTGTCCTTCCTATGAAGCCCTGTGCACAGAGAGGCATAAACAACAAAGACCCTCTGAGGATAACGAGGACAGTCTTGATACCATAGGGTTGATGTAGATGAGAAAAGAAAAATAATTTTAAAAATTCACAGCATAGGGAAAAATAGGTTGCCAATTAAGATTTTTATTTTTAGATATCTGTTGACAAGACCAAGAACATGGGATTTCTGCTGTGACCTTCCACTAAATTCAATCCTTCTCCAAACATGCTTAGTAAGCACTAGCTGCATATCACACAATAAAAACGCATAGGTGGGAACAAGTTAAGGCCAAGAAAAAAAGAGAGGAGAAGGGGAAAAGCAGTCTATCTTAGTAATAATATTATAAGGAATCTGGAAGAGAAGTATGTTTTTAAAAATAATTAATCCCACATTCACAGAAAGACTCATTAAAAAAAAAAAAAATCTTAAAAAAGTATTTCAAATACCCCAGGTTGCAAGCTTTAAAATTTTGTAGAAGACTGTTTTCGAAAAACTATCGGTAGGAAATAAGCACAGTTCATTACAAAAAAAACTATTACCGTGGTTGCAGAAAATAGGTTACTTTCCCAGCACATTCTTAAGTTTTCAGGTGTTCAAGTTTTCTATTTAAAATTTGAAAAATGCAGCTGCTTTTCACAAGTATCTTCAAGGAGATCTTTTTTCTTCCGCCAGAAAATGTAAGCTACTGCTAAGAAACACAGTCACTTAAAGTAATTTTCAAACACTACTCATTTAGCCTTTCAGATTACTAAATGGCAAGTTTACTCTCTGGCAGGTTTTTTTCCCCCAGAAAACTCGTATTTCCATTAAGATCTTCACTAACAACACTCTCAAACTCCATTAAAATCTTATTAACATTTATTTTCAATCATTAGTAAATAGTTTACTCTTCAAATAGCTTTACAGGGAGCAGTGCAATACTCTCATTTCCAAATTACACAGTCAGTTCTGACCTCTGATACTCAGACACGTGCCCTTTGCAGCCGATGAGGTTTTTGCCTATTTATCTCAGTACCAAACTGAGCCCCCAGGCATAAAACCCATTCTTCAGTATAGTTATTGCAGTCTCTTACCAGAGTTAATCTTCTTGTCCCACCCACCGGAGATGCATTTACTTATTAGAAACATCAAGGTTGCAAGATGAAGCACTCCAGCTCTTCCAGAGGGGAGCCATTAAAAACAATTCTTGTAATGAACACCATTCGTTACATTTACAAGGAAAGAAACCAGATTTGGGTTATTTCACTAAGCACTGATGAGCTTCACCTTGTGGCAAGTACTTAAGTTAGAAGAACTGTGCACAAATATTTTCTTCTGGCTTTCCTTTTGTGATCAACTGTGTCCTTTCTTGGCCCAGAAGAAAATATGACTCTTCACATCAGTCACTGTTTTACACCAAAATAAAAATGTGCTTTTTTTCAGGTTCTGTCAGCTTGATTTTGATTTCATCAATAGTCGCTTTATACTAGTGCAGTTGTCTTTATTCCGTATTTTCTTTCCTGTGAAATCTAAATGTCCCTGTCTGTTCCAGTGCCTTTTTAGCAGTTCGTAACTGACACTTGTCATGTGTAAACTACAGCAGCTAGAGGTTCATCAGTTAGTAACGTGCACTTTCAGTGGCATTTCAGATAAATTCAGTTTGCAGAAAGATAATTTTGCCCTTCCGTTTTTCTCACTCAAGAATTAAGGACTATGTTGTTCTTTAATACAGTGAGTGATGAGAAAAAGATAATCTTTGTCATTTCTATAGTGCTAGCCACAAATTTTGGATCTGAATATGATCTTTCTACATTGCTATACAAACACCATAATTGTATGGTATCCTTATATACTATATATATGGGTATGCCTGTATTAGATGTGTAAATATAC